AAGGCGGAACGCCTTGTAGTTGTCGCCCGCTTGGAGGGTTTTTTGTGCCGAGTCGATTGTTGATTGCCGGACCAGGACAGGAGGATACCGTCACTGAGCCTGGAGGTACAATTGGCACTTGGGAAGCTGATATAAGAGACGACTTAGCCGACCCATTATCATCAGTACCTGAAGCAGGGTTTTTAACCGCCTTAGCGGTTTGGACTGCAGCTGCTTTAGAGGTACTTGATGAGAAGTCCAGAGGTACCTCGCCACCTGATGAGCAACTACGAAAAGTTTTAAATTTATTACATTCAGCCAGCCTGGGTGTACCGGCCTCCTGCGACGCCGGTAACATGCAAACTTGCCTGACCCGGTGTGGCCGCCTGACTAGTCTGGGTAACAGTCGCATTCGACTTTCCCCAGCCCATTACCGTCGCTGTGGATGTAGGGTCCCCGGAGATTATGAAGCCCCTGACCGGGTACGCGGGGCATGCTTCCTTCTTCTCTTCCATGGTTTGTCCTTGTGACAAGTGTATTTTTAACCTACTGCCAGGTTAAACTGCCGACCCCATAGGGAAACAGACGCTACCAGACAGGGGGAGGGGTAGTTCTTAGTTTCGCGCTCAATGTAAACCCGTCTGGAATGGGTGACCCTACCAGGAATAGCCAACTTGTGATGGCCATTCCCGATCATCGCGCTTAAGCATCTGCATCACGTCTGCGATGGGTAGTCATCTTGACTACCCAAGTCTTCCATAAGTTATGGAAGACTTTTTTCACTTAGCAAATTGCGTACTAAGAAAAATCTTTAAAAAAGTAAAAAAATTTTAAAAGACTTAGATTTAAATGGGTATATTTTTGAATCTAATTGAGATGGTTGGTTGGTTTACGTGGTAGTTCACTACGCGCGAACAGTCAAGTAGATCCAAGCGACTCCGCTTCGACCGGACCACTCCACTCGTCAGATGTAGTATATTACAGTTTTAGATCCAACCTGTAGCAGTGAGAAATCTTAGGATATCATTAAGCTTAGATCTAGATATCTTTCCAAGGTTAGATATGAAGTAACTGCCAAGGAAACGGTTCCTTTTCACAGATAAAGCAGGGCATTCGCAGAGAAGATGGAAGAGCGTTTCTTCCTTTTCCCTGTCTTTGCAACTCGATATATCCCGTCTACTTCGGCCTTTTGAAGATAGAATCTGAGGATACTACTCTTGATAAAATCTAACGGGGTTGCTACTGGAACGGCGTTGGAGATATCAAGGGCAGATGCCGTTCTGGCAAGCTCATCTGCCTGTTCATTTCCATCATAATCCCTATGAGCAGGGACCCAAACAAGGCAACCCAGCCCTGATAGATCCTTCTTGCATTGCTTAACTAATAGGGAAGTGGTAGTATAAGAATTTAGTGAGAGAAGTGCCGCTTGACTATCAACAAAAATGCCTATGTTGCCGCGGATATTGAGGTCGTGTAGTACCCTATAAGCTGACATTATCGCAAATATTTCAGCTTGAAAGACACTACAGTTGTTGGGAAGGCGGTGAGATATACTTATCCCAGCGTCTTCACAGAAGACACCAGAACCAACACCATAGTTCATTTTAGAACCATCTGTAAAGATTCTGGTGGTATATTCGCTCGGTAGGTTACCCCTACACTACGCGCTCCTGGAAGGAACTCTCACTTTGAAAACTCTATCAAAGTCAGTGTGTGGGGTAATATAATCCGATGGTTGGTTCAAGATTGGAGGTAATTGGCTTAAAATCTTAGCGTGTCTATATGTTCTTGATTTCCAACTTCCGGATGAGTTAAGCCTCGCTGCGCTGCAAGCAGATATGGCCATAATATAAAGATCAATAAGTAGAATGGTGTTCAGAGCTTCTGAAGGACTAGTTCTTAGAGCACCTGTTATCCCAATAGCTTAGATAGCTCCGAATTCCACCATGAAGGGAAGCTTTTCTTTGTCTTTGTGATTGGCATTCTTGTCTAGAATGAACTGTGCCTTGGCGTATCTCGATTTGAAGATGTATTTCTAACTCTTCTAAATTAGGCATTACAACCGTCCCGTGTCGTAACACCGGAGGGGAGCTGTTAGCGACTAATCTTATTTTACCTCTAATTAGCCACTCAGGTTCTCGGCACTGCTACCAACCACCTTAACCTTACAAGTGGGAAATGGGATAGTAGGAAAATGAGGAGATTAAAACAGGAAATAGGGATTGGGAAAGGAGGGGGATAATCCTTGGCCATGCAGGCTTTTAAGTTCGCTGTCATGCGGGAAAGCTCAACAGTGTTTAACAGCATGTCAGGAACCACAGCCAACACTAAGCCACCACATCGCGGCAAGATCCAGGTGGTGGATCTAATTGAGATATTGACTTGAAATTTTTTTAGAAGATCAAAAATTAACTTAGCTAAAATTAAAAATCTTTAATATCGGATGGAAAACAAAAAAATAGCACGCGTTTAAAAAATTTTTACATGTTTGAGGTACCCTATTTTGAGCCCCCATAGCGCCGCCCCTAGAGCATTTTTAGAATCTATTTTCATAATTTAAACCCGAATACTCCTTGGCTACTAAGTGTTTAGAAATGCCAGATTTATTTCCAAAAAATGTCCATTCTGCCCTACTGTGATCGAAAATACCGTTATCCTTGGACCGATTTAACTCAAAGTTGAAATTTTACCATATCTTTATCTATAAAGCCCTGTACCAAATTTCATGGATCTACGACAACTCCTTTTATTTTTGCCAAATTTTGTTCTACATGAGAGCACTGTGTGTCAAACAAAGTGTTTTCAGAGTATTATAGACTAGATAAAAAAAGGTAAATTAGCCCTTTATGGCTAAAGTTCCAAAATTCGAAAAAGTACTTTCCATTTGAATAATGCTCTATATAATTAGAGAAATAGCAGAAATATAACAAAAACTTATATATTAAGTATAAAAAATTACTATGCAGTAAACTTGAGGTGTACATTTAAAAAATGTAGTTTTTAAAACTGGTAATTTATGTAGTCCAGTTTTTCAATCGATTTTCGACATAATATGTCTAAAATACAATCTTTATATATTCAAAAAGGGTTAATACACAAGTTTTTATACCAAATATGTATATATTTTATTTTTTTTTTTTTATTTCTGTTATTCCTATAATTATATATAACATTATTCAAATGGATAGTGTTTTTACGATTTTTTGAACTTCGGGGTTAAATTTGTGTTTTAAAGGGTTAATTTTACTCTTTTTAAACATAAGACTTTATTCAAAAAATTCCAGTCAGCTTTATTAAATATGGCCTACAAAAAAATAATATTTCCCTATAGTAAACTGAGAATTCATAAATATTGCAAAATTTGACCTTTGAACTCCACCTTTTATGGGTTCCAATTTGAATAAAATTTCAGATATATATTTTATATTAAAACACTAATCTGATACTTTATTTAAAATGTAAAACAGTAAAGAATTCATACGTATTCTCTAAAATATTACAAAAATATAACAAGATTTTTCTGAAATCCGCCGAGTTCAAATCGCAGGTACAGTTAAACTGTAAAAATGATTAATCCAATTTTATACCTCTTTATTTTTGTATCTATTGTCCACAAATCCTCATGAGTTCTCCTAAAAATTTAAAAATTTGTTTTTCAAAATTTCAAAAAAACTTAAATTGAAAATCACAAAAACTATTATTCGAGTAATTATAAATATATTTTAAGTAAAAAAAATGTTTTTTTAGAATATATGTATCTCAAAAAAGTAAATTTTTTGTCACATTTCAAATTCATGTGCTGTGAGACACGTTAATGGCCTGGGGAATTTGCAATAACTTTTAAATTTTTCAACCAATTTTTGTGTTTTATATATTTCTGAAATGGTTTTTCTACGCACATTATGATTCCTTTACAATTAAGTGCAAAGTTTATTATTAAATGGAAATTTGAGCAAAAACTGAAAAAAAGTTTTTTCCTTGTAATTGCGCTTGGAAACTTCAGAGCCGTTGCGCTACCTGTTAACGTTATCCTATCAGCCTAATTTTTGCATGACATAGTTTTACAGCTCAAAGAACAATTTTAGAGAGGGAACGCCCTCTCTAGAATTGTAGCTTGGAGCACTCTTCACACAAGCTTGGAGCACTCTAATGTACATATATATGTATGATAATTATAATATTATGCATATTTTTAACGTAAAATTTAACTTTAACTTTTCAATTGACCTTTAGTTGTCTTCTAAAATTTTTGAACAATGCAGAATAAATACGTTTTTCCGTCTATTGATAATTTTTGAACAAAACTGCTGCGAAATGTACCATCTGATTTTGATTTTTGAAAAAAAGGTCTCATTTCACTCTCTCATAACATTGCTGAAGGTTGTGATGAATATAAAAAAAGAAAATGATGTGTGCATAAATTAATTAAAAAGCACAAACTATGAACACTATCTTTTTGTGCGCACTCCTTATGTAACATAATTGTGCTCTTAACATTGCCAAAAATTGAAAACAAAATTATACCATTAGACGGGGCTTCAAAAATCCTTTTAATAACCTATATTGTATAACTTCTTTAAAAAGAAATAAAAAAATTTAAAACAAATTACATACTAAAATACCTTTCTGTTATATTTTGTGAATAAATAGTATTTTAATATCTAGTTCAATTTCGATTTTATCGATTATGTATTTAGTTACATATGTATTTTATTTTTCTACTAAAATATAATTTATTTACTTATATTTCATTATTCTCCTTTCTTATCCAAAGCATGTTAAAATATATTTTAAAACATACATAAATATATTTGTTATTAAAAACGTTCATAAACTATGGACTTATTCGTAACAATTTATCAAAGGTTTATAAGACAAATTTTATTATTTATTCAATAGACGAAGAATGTAATCTAATTGTCATACAATATTTGTTCTATAAACCTTTGATAAATTGTTACGAATAAGGCAGTATAACTATACCAAATACAAATTAATAAATATTTTTATCTATACAGAAGCATATCAAATGATGCCATATTAAATTCCCCAACTGGTGGTAAAAACAACAGCGGCAGATACTCACCGAACATGCAGGTAATTAAGTTTTACATGTTTATTACTATATCAATGGGAGCAATGTTTACTACTTTTCATGTCTATCAAAATAAAATTAATGCCTGATATCGAAAATATGCCCCCCACTGTTGGGGTGAGGAATTCACTAAAGAGTGAGAGGTTCGGCCAAGTTCGTTGTTCGAAACAATTTTGAACCTCACCCAACTTTTTACGAAACTTTTATCTCTTTGAAACTATGTTTAAAATTTCTTAAAGTCGGCCCAGCCATTTAGGTGTGGACCTTATGAAAAACACGAAACTGCCCTTTTTACCCAATTTAATTTAATTTTTCTTAAAAAAATATGTATCTTTTGACTGATTACAGCAAAATACTTCTCAAGTATTTGCATATTTCCGAAAAAGTACCTAAACTACACATAATTACCCGTTATGTTTGAATTACCCACATGCCTATTTCTGGTCCAACTTTTACAACAAATCTTTCCTAATATATTATTTCTGGAACGTTAAAAGCTAAATCGAAAGTATTCAGCATTAGTACAGACAAAAATCACTTTTTAAGGACATAACAGTAAATTTGCCCGTTTTTCGTCATTTCCCGCATTTTTTACCAGTTTTGGTCAAACTTTCGCAACGCACAGTGGTATAGGAAAAAAAAAAGAGGGAAATAATTCGGTAACTTCTAAACGGTTAATCCGATTTTAATGAAATTTGGTATGCACAAAGAGAAGGTGCTGTCGAGTTTAGGTTTTGAATTTGGACCTTATAGGCCAACCAGGGGCCCGGTGGAGGGTCCTCAAATTAGGACACCTCGGCTATGTTAAATTTTTAAAACGATCCTATTTCTTCATTTGAGTTCCGATTTAAAAAAAAATTCGTATATAGAATCTCCTCATCTCCTCATCACTATAAAAAATGTCGTCGTAGCAGTAAATTATCTCTTATAGTTTAGGAGATATTCGCATTTGAAAATTAAAATTTTAAAATTTTTACCGTCCTTACTTTAGTTTTTTGATAATAGCGGGTCCAAATATTCCCGATTTTTTTTTTATTCGCATAACAACAAGTTTATATATCTGATTTTTACATAATTCTTTCACTGCTTGATATATAAACTTGTTGTTAAGCGAATAAAAAAAATGGCGAAAATCGGGAATATTTGGATCCGCTATTATCAAAAAACTAAAATAAGGACGGTAAAAATTTTAAAATTTTAATTTTCAAATGCGAATATCTCCTAAACTATAAGAGATAATTTACTGCTACGACGACATTTTTTATAGTGCTCGATGAGGAGATTCTATATACGAAATTTTTTTTAAATCGGAACTCAAATGAAGAAATAGGATCGTTTTAAAAATTTAACATAGCCGAGGTGTCCTAATTTGAGGACCCCCCGCCGGGCCCCTGGTTGGCCTATAAGGTCCAAATTCAAAACCTAAACTCGACAACACCTTCTCTTTGTGCATACCAAATTTCATTACAATCGGATTAACCGTTTAGAAGTTACCAATTATTTCCCTCTTTTTTTTTCCTATACCACTGTGCAACGGAACTTTGCTAATAAAAATTTCTTACACTTAAGATAGCTAAATCGAAAATATCTTCGCGTCAGAATATACAAAAATCAGTTTTCAAGCACAAAAGTACCGATTTTTCCAGTTTTTCCCCGTTTTGTTGCAACTTTGCTAATACATATTTCTGACACTTTATTGAAATATGTATTAGTAAATACATAAATCGAAAATATTTTCGCATTAAAGTAGACAAAAATAAATTTTTATGCCCGATTTTCGTAGTTTTCACCCATTTTTTTACTCCCTTCTAGTCCAATTTTCGGAAAGTAATATAGCCTATTGACGCTTCCTGACTTATATCTTTCTATGTTCCAAGTTTGAAGAAAATCGGTTCATCCGTTTAGGCGTGATTGACGCACAAACAAATAAATAAACAAACAAATAAACAAACTTACAAAGAAATTTATAATATATATTAGGATATTAGGATTTAGTAATTATTATTCTCGCAGTCGGAAGACTGATGTGTTTTGTTGCTATCACTGAGTGTTACTTTCAAAATTATTTTAAAATATTTTTTATTATTAAAATAGATAGGGGGTATTAAACCGTGAGCGTATGAGTAATTTTCCGAAGGGAATCTTCTATGCGTCACAGATTGGAAAAAGTAAGAAAAAGGAACAAAAATTATATTTTTGTGAATCTCCACGATTTTGAGATAATTTTAACAGTTTTAAAATTTATTGGAACATTATTTCGAAAATAGAAAATGTAAGAAATTGGCCTCGAAAAGAACTAAAATTATATTTTTGTGAATATCCCCAATTTTTAGATTATTTTAACAGCTTCAAAATTTTTTCGAACGTTACTTCGAATTTTCGAACTTAATTTTAAATATTCCACCATAGCATTGTAGTGTCATCAAGTGTACTCCAGACAGCCAAATTTCAGACAATTCGGGCCACGAGAACTGGTTTTAATGGCTTTAAAATTTTTTCGAACTTAGATTATTTTAAGAGCATAAAAATTTTTTCGAACATAACTTCGAATTTTCGAATATAATTTCGAACATTCGTACATGATATTGTATTGTTATTAGCTGTACTCACAACCGCCAAATTTCAGCAAATTTGGGCTACCGGAATTGGTTTTAAAACAATTTTCCCCAATTAATTCGTCGTTAGTCTGCCTAAGAAATAGAAATATACCTATCGAATAGTTCGTTACGTACGACGAATTTCGTCATACGCAATGATTGTGTACATTTTCATATACCCAAGTGTGTTCTATTTCTGACGACGAATATTCGTTCCGAAAAATTCGTCGTTGGTCGTACTAATAGATTTTGTTTTGTATAGAACTTGTTTATGTCAAATTTCATCGCTATACACGTATTTTTAAATAAGGAAAACTAGTATATTAATAAGCAAAACCATTTATGAAGGGAACCTCGTAATTTTCTGAATCCTCCTCTTCAAATTTTCTTAAAAGGACCTTATATGAGGGGTAGGGTCAATTATTGACCGATCCTCATAACTTTTTGTAGACCGATTTTGGTTCATATAAAACTTGTTCACATTGAATATCATCGCTGTATTCGCATTTTTATGGCAATAATAATCGTTAAAGTAATTTTCGGAAGGGGGCTTATAGGGGGGTAGCAAGATTAACGTTCTTATAAAAGTTTCTTATGTCGAATTTCATAACTGTCGTATTTTTAAGCCAGCAATGATCGTTTAAGTAACTTTCAGAAGGGGACATCGCATTTTTAAGGAAGTAATGAGCGTTAAAGTAATTTTCCTCATATGGAGGTATGGTCAATTATGGACAGATCCACATAAACTTTGGTAGAGAGATTTTGGCTAGTGAGGAACTTACTTGTGTCAAATTTTATAATCGTATTTTTCAGCCAGTAGTGAGTTCTAAAGTAATTTTCGGAAGGGGACCTTTTATGGGCGATAGGATCAATTATGGACCGATCCTTACTAAATTTGGTAGATTTTGGCTCGTATATAACTTACGAGTGTCGAATTTCATCACTTTACGCGTATTTTTAAGCCAGTAATGAGCGTTAAAGTATTTTTCTGAAGGAGACCTTATATGGGTGGCAGGATCAATTATAGACCGATCCACATAAAATTTATTGGAGAGATTTTGACTCGGGAGGAACTTATGTAAATTTCATCGTTATACTCGAATTTTTAGCCAGTAATGACCGTTAAAGTAATTTTCAGAAAGCGACCTTATATGGGGCCGATCCTCAAAAAATCAGTACGGAGATTTTAGCTCGCATAAAACTTGTGTGTGTCGAATTCCATCACTATATGTTATACTCGTACTTTTCAAACAGTTATGACCGTTAAAGCTATTTTTCGGGGGTCCACATGTATGGGGGCTATCGGAAAACGTGGACCGATATTGCCCATTTTCCATAGCAAACAAACCTTATCAATAGAGAATATTCATGCAAAATTTCAGCTGTCTCAGAACAAAAAACGACTTGTTTAAGTGATTTTCAGAATTTCAGGACTTTATATGGGAGCTATGACCAATAATGGACCGATCCGGGAAAAAAGTAGTAAAATGATTTATATGTACACAAAACATATTCAAGTCGAATTTTATCCCTATAGCTTTAGAATTCTATGAAATATATGCGTTTAAGTGATTTTCGGAAGTGGGCCTTATATGGGAGCTATGACCATTAATGGACCGGACTAGATTTTTACAATAGCTTTATTTGTCAATGAAATATGTGCGTTCAGGTCATTTTCGGAAGTGGACCTTATAAGGGACCTATAACCAAGTGTGGACCGACTGTGATCTACGTTGATATTATGATTTCTGTTCATATTATATTTGAATGTACACAATTTTGTGTTGATACCGATATATTTGAGGGAGTTATTAATGATAAACAAATTTCCAGGAATATATACCTTTGTATTTAGGCTATGGGAAATATTAGATCGATTGTAAAGACTTTGAACAGATTTGATCATTGCCCTGAAAAAATATTGTGTGACAAAATTCACCGAAATATCTTTGGTAGTTTTCTGAGAAAAAGAGTTAGAAGAAAAAATGTAATTTTTCGAGGTGTTCTGAAATTTTTACTCATAACTTTTTACGTTGTGAACCGATCTTGCTGATTTTCAATACTAAACTGCTTAGGATAATAATAAATATTTTGTATATACACTTTGTTGGGTCTTAGATGAATATTTCTTAGTGTTACACACGGAACGATAAACTTATATATACCCTCTATCACCACTGATGGTGGTGGAGGGTATAAAAATGATAAGAAATTGGCTAGATGACAACATTTTCGATAAAAATATTCCAAAAGAGAAAACCTCGATTATCGATAAAAGAATTTGCTTAATAATATTCCGATGCTTGAATCACATTACAAAAGGCAATACACAAACAAACTTTATTTATATTGGCGAAAAATATAACTAAGAAAAAAAAAAAACGATTTCGAAAATGCCAAGTGTA